GTGGGGGTGGGAGAGAGGCTTAGAGTGTGTGTGGGGGGAGGGGAGGGTGGATTTTCTCTATCTTTGTGGACAATGACCTGGGTCATCTAATCTGGTTTTGACCAACTAAAGAAATGGAGAAAAATCTCTCCCAGCAGAAAACTGCTTCACACTGATTACCTCACTGCAGCCCCAACAAAACCCCAACCTGGTGGTCGGTGTTGAGCAAAGATGTGCTCGTTATGGCAGAGACCCGCCTTTCCCCCAACGCAGCGATGCCAGCCGTCTCCCCCCCTCTTCCTCGCGGTCCGGGGCTGCGTCCTGAGCCTGCGGGTTTCCTCCGGAGGCTGTCTCGGCCGCACGGTTGCAGGGTTCTAGCCTGCGGCTCGCCCTCGGCTGGGTTTGTTACCTGTTTTCCCGCTTGGCAGTGTTGATGCAGGTGGCTTTTTGTAGAAAATTGAACCTTTCTCATTCTCTTCAGTCTGCTTTCATAGCATAACCACCTCTTGCACTTTTTCCCTGTGCTAATGTGGGGGCTAAAATAGATTAATACTCCCCCCCACACACACCTTTTAAGTTCTGGCTGGGCTCCTCATCAAATTAACAAAGACATTCAAGGAGAACAAAGTTTTTCATATATGTATGCTTGAGGAATTCACAAAAGCACGAACATTCCAAAAGGAGGGAGGCAACATGGGGTATGTAAGACGTTTTGGACAAAGGAAAAAAAGGGGGTGGGGAATGGGCCGTTTACAGGTGGTTGAGGAGCAGAGCATACACGGCAGGAAAATCCTTGCTAGGCAACTCAGAAACAGCGCGACACTCTAGGGGGTATCTAGCCAATAGGCGTCTGCCTGAAGCCCTTTTTTTTTTTTTCATTTTTCTTTTTTTAAAAACCATACATAATTCAACGTAGGTTAAGGCGACATTTTAAGATATCCTTCCTGAAGCAGATTTCTGTGTCTGAATGTGTTGGGCAGGAAAAGGGGCAGGGTCAAAGGTTCTGAGTCTTGTTTCTTAATAAACAGCTTAAAATCAACATCCCTAAAAGGCAGCTCCTGGGAGGCAAAACGTGGGTTCTCTTCACGAATGTCACCACTTTGGAAGAAATCTTTGGGAAAAGGTTTTTGAAAAAACTTGGGCTGAGAAGTATTTTATCAACTGGTTGCACCTTTTCTTTTTGGTATTGCTTTTGTTAACATAAGAAGCATTCAAAATCTGTAGGGAATCTTTATGAGTGTAATTGAGCCAACTTGATGATCGTTACCTGGCAGCAAAATCTCAGTGGGTTGAGCAAATGCTCTGGAAAATGGCAGTTTTACCACTTACTTTATTCATCAGAATCAGAGGGGAAGATATTCAGGGGTTACATGAAATTCATTGGTGACATTAGTGAGGTGGGGAGGGGAGCGGGAGAGCTCTCTGGGAGTGGGTAAAAAGTAAACCAAATAGACACATACTTCTTTTACCTAGGTGGGTATAGCAAAGGGAACAGGTAACAATTAACATGATAATAATAACTATGAAGGGATTTGTGGTCTCTGCTCTGGAGAGGTGGTTGTGCTTTGAGGGATCCAGACCAAAAAAAAAAAAAAAAGAATTTTTTTAAAATATATATTCCAAAGGCCTGTTATCACATACGTTATCTTAGGTGCAAAAAGACAACAGGCCCAGTTACGGTGAAAATGGTCTTTGGTAGGGAGAAATGCCGCTATGGAACATGACTACCCACCATGAGCTGCTTTCAGTTAGAAAGTGTTAATTTCAGACCGTACTATGTGGTGACGTCCTGTCTCTGAGTGTGTAACATGGCCGAGCTTGTCAGGTTTAGTATGTGGTGCCCTCCCCGTCCCCCTTTTCCTTCCGTCCACACTTTCCTCCTGTGTAAGTTGATAATTGTCCAGCTCTTGGTGTTCTTCATTCTCACTCTGTGAGGAAATCCTCTCCCCTTCTCCCTCATGTCTTGACCCTGCCAGGGGGTAGACTTGGTGAGCACAGGACCTTTGCTTGGCAGTGGGGTTTTTCATTGGCTGTTGCTTTTCCTCTTTTTACAGCCACCCGTATTCAGTCAACCCATGACCCACTTCAAACTTTTAGTCACTTTGTAGATTGCCTTTAAGATACCAAGTAGTTTTAATGTAAATGTAAAAAGAAATTTCAGGATACTGTACCTCAATCATTACATTTAGCTTTAAGACAGGCCAGTAAACCAGAGGATGAGGCCCAGAAATCAGCATTTTAAAAAGATTCCCAGGTGATTCTCATGTGCAGCCAAGGTTGGGAACCACTGTCCTGCGCTCTTCCTTGTTTCACTGTCCCCAGCTTTAATTAATAAACACACTCTCAAAATCACCTGGACTTGTGTTGTGAAATCTTTCCCGCAGGAAGTCAAGAACCCGCACACTACCAGCTTAGTCCGCTCCTGGTCAGGCCCCTTTCTGGGAACAGCTTTACCATATTAACATCTAAAGCTACTAATTCTTTAGCATTTGATAAGATTACTATTATTGTCTTTTCAGATGATATTATAGTCTGTAATAATTGCATGTTCTGTAAATTCAGCCAGTGAGTGTAATAAAAAATAAAACCAGCATCATTTCCTCATTGTTAAGAAAGTGAGGTAGCTAAAATTTGACACCCCATCCCTTTTCAAAATAGAGTTTATATTGAGAGCAGTTTTAGGTTCATAGTAATATTGAGATTTCTCATATACATTCTGCCCCATGTGCCCTCTGCCCTGTCCCACATATGCACAATCTCCCCAGCTATCGAAATCCCCATACTGGAAGGGTAAATTTATGACAACTGATGAAAATTATTGACACATTGTTATCACTCAAAGTCCAGAGTTACTATTACAGTTCACTCTTGGTGGTGTACATTCTATCTATGGCTGTAGGTAAATGACTCCTTAAAAACAAGTCGAGAACTTTTAAGAGTTGTAGAGAATTGAAATGGGTGTTATTTTTAGAAGATTAAAGAGAATATTTTAAACATCCTAAAAATTAATTTCACATAGCTTTCCTGTTTTAAAAAATTGGATGTTTAAACTTTGGTTTCTTATATTTGAATTTTCAACAATTTTTTTTCTTTAATCTTCACCTGAGGATAATTTTCCATTGATTTTTTAGAGAAAGTGGAAGAGAGAGGGAAAGACAGAAAGAAATATCGATGTGAGAGAAACACATCAATTGGTTGCCTTTAGCACAAGCCTGGACCAGGGCCCAGGCGGGGGAGGAGCCTGCAACCAAAGTACTTGCCCTTGACGGTGATGCTCTATGCACTGAGCCAAGCCAGCTAGGGTGACAATTACTTACTTTGTATATTAAGAACTAAAGAGACTAAACTTCTTGGCTGTGTGACCATGGTGATTTATTTTCTGAACCTGTTTCTTAGCTGTAAAAGGGGGGTAGAAATGTTTATAATATGTGAAATAATTTCCTAAGCAGCAAGCACTATAATATTCATTGATATCATTAGTCACATGCTGTTTTTTTTTAAATGCTAGTATAGTTTATTTCCAGTGAATACCAGTTATGTAAATACTGTTAAAACTTTTTTTTTTCTAAGGGCTGGTTATACAAGAGAGTTCGTTATCTGGTTATGCATAATTCTTGTGACTCAGGTAAAACTATCGAAGAAGGTCAAAGGGACCTTGGAAAATTTTCTAGTTCATCTTGCTGTGTCTTTTTTTGTTTTTGTTTGTGTGTGTTTCTATGTTCATAAATAAAAATTTGTTGGAACCCAGTTATGCTCATTCATTTACATATTGCTTATGGCTGATTTGTATAAACACTAAAGTTAAGTTGCTTTGATAGAAACACCTACCCTGACAGCCTAAGGTATTTATTTGTCTGGCTCTTTTGATAAAAGTTTTGCTGACCTCTATTGTAATTGAACATTATAAAGAAGAAATTTCCACCCACCAGTTGGGGGAAGGGAGGATCTATCAAAAAAGAAATTTCATGCCTTTAGTGAGATGTCAAGATCGCTTCTCCCAACCATCTTTCCAGATAAAAATCTCCAACATTTGAAAGTTAATAATCTGTGAAACCTTTTTACTGCTTCCAACAATAGCAGTTATACACACACACACACACACACACACACACCTACCTTTCAGTCTTCAAAACCAGACCTGGTTGAGCCACATATTTTCTAGTCTGGTGGGCTGGGGTCCCATGTTCCCAGTAAACACATTGGATGATATTTCTGCCACTGTCTGTATGGCCAGGGCTTTGACATAGGCCACACCTATTCTCCAACACACAATATCACATCTTTTCCAAGTTGTTTAGAGATATAATAGTTCTATTTATAGAACTGAATGGGTAGAACAGTGTAGGGGAGGGCGGAACTAAACTATTTTCTGCACAAGTTCATTAATGCTTTAAAATAGTTAGAAAGCAAACTTCATCCAATATCCTTGATATCTAGAACCCATGGAGTGATTAATAAGTTAAAAAGTGACCCATTTTCTTTTACAAAGTGATGAGTCATAAAAGCACTTTTTAGTAGCATTGAATGACGATACATTGCTGTGCAGAATTATAATGTCATCTTGCTGGTATGCCCATAAGTGGTGTAACCTAGGAGTATAAACTCGGTATATGCGTGTACAGCACTTTACTGGGGAGAAGACTCACAGCTTTCAGCATGCTCAAAAGGGGTTGACTAGTATGACCATCTTCCCCCTAGAATAGCGGTTCTCAACTTGTGGGTCGAGATCCCCTTGGCGGTCGAATGACCCTTTCATACGGGTCACCTAAGACCATCCTGCATATCAGACTTTACATTACGATTCATAACAGTAGCAACATTACAGTTATGAAGTAGCAACGAAAATAATTTTATGGTTGGGTCACCACATGAGGAACTGTATTTAAAGGGCCAGAAGGTTGAGAACCACTGCGAGGTTCTAGGAACCATTAGTTTCAGTTATTTAGGCAGGGTTTTTGTTTGTTTTTACTATATATTTTGCAGATTATTTTTAACATTTGTTTTTGTTTTTTAAAAAATATATTTTATTGATTCTTCACAGAGAGGAAGGGAGAGAGAGAGTTAGAAACATCGATGAGAGAGAAACATCGATCAGCTGCCTCCTGCACATCTTCCACTGGGGATGTGCCCGCAACACAGGTACATGCCCTTGACCGGAATCGAACCTGGGACCTTTCAGTCCGCAGGCCGATGCTCTATCCACTGAGCCAAACCGGTTTCGGCAACATTCGTTTTTTGAGAAAAGAAAGTGAACAGGTAATTTTTGAAGCACCGTGAATGCCTGTTTTCTACCAGAGGTTGATATTTATGATATAACAGTATGCTGGCCAGTCCCCTGATTAATAGTGCTGCTTCTTAGAGCTGAAGATGACACACCACTGATTCATCCATGATCATTAGGCAGATACTGTCCACTCCTGCCCTCCCTGCCTTGATGGGCAATAGACTGTATGGCAGAGAACCACACCCTAATACAGTCCAGCATATTAAAATATTACTTTGAAATGCTAAAAGATAATTTGGTTCGTTTGTTCTAAAAGTTGGACATGTTTTCTTTTGTCAACAAAACACCAAATGCTAAAGAAAACTATTTTATCTTCCAAACTAGATGATATTTACATAGTTATATGTGTTGTATAATATTTCTTCTTATATAGCACAAAGTAGAAAGTTATAATAAATCCTAATTGATCATTTGGACTTTCAATATTGCTGGTTAGAAAAGAATATGGAATTTACAATCATCTTATAGTCTTAAATTAGACTATAATTTACAATTTGAATTTATAACATTTAAAGTTAATCTTATTTGCATTTGGGGAATTCCAGAATCAGGTTGGAGTGCTAAGCTTGAGTTTATTTTTATAATAAGAGTTTGAAGTACTCTGTATCAAACTGCCCTGTTTTCCTTGTAAGTGTTAGATTGCTGGGCTATAGCGCTTTATAACGTGAAGCCAACTTCTGTTTCTGGGTCAGTTTCCAGTAACAGTCACAAGGTCTGAAGAGTATGAGGTAGATCAAGTGATGTTATACAAGCTTATGAATGAATCCAACCAGAGTAATGCCTTTTTTCTCAGATCTTTTTTTTTCTTTTTCCCTTTTATATTGGTCAGTTTTTTCATTTGAAATGCAAATGCTTTTCAAAGTTCAAGGTTCTAAATCAATACTTGGGATTTATAAGATAAAGTAACAGAACTATTTTTATCTCAGTAGATTTGTTCTCCATAAAAATTATCTGAAGCCCCAGCCGGTTTGCCTCAATGGATAGAGTGTCGGTCTGAGGACCAAAGGGTACTGGGTTTAGTTTGGTCAAAGGCACGTACCTTGGTTGCAGGCTCTTCCACGGCCCAGGCCCTGGTCAGGGCTCATGTAGGAGGCAACCAATCGATGTGTTTCTCTCACATCAATGTTTCTCTCTGTCTTTCCTTCTCTCTTCCACTCTCCCTAAAAATCAATGGAAAAATATCCTTAGGTGAGGATTAACAACAACAAAATGTCTGAGAGGTCTATATATCTTAAAAATTAATTAGAGATGAATGTCAGCATTTGCATAGTATTTTATATATGAAAGACAGTGAGTGTATTGCATTTTGTTATTTTATTTTTTAATATTTTTATTGATTTCAGAGAGGAAGGGAGAGGGAGAGAGAGATAGATGAGAGAGAATCATTGATTGGCTGCCATATTTTGTATGTAGATGTTCATTTGTTTCAATATCATTTGTTAAAAGACTGTCATTTCTCCATTGAATTGCTTTTGTGCCTTGTCAAAAACCAATTGGAGATATTTGTGTGGGTTTATTTTTAAACTGACTATTCTGTTCTATTGCTATATGTGTCTGTCCCCACAGTTTCACTGGTGTGCCACAATAACTTTTAAAATGTATAATACCTGACTCTTTACTCTTAGGCGAGTGGTCAGCAAACTGCGGCCCCTTGAGTGTGGCTCTTCCACAAAATACCACGTGCGGGCACGCACGTACAGTGCGATTGAAACTTCATGGCCACACTCGAGGGGCCAAAGAGCCGCATGTGGCTCGCAAGCCACAGTTTGCTGACCACTGTCTTAGCCTGTCAAAT